CCCTCCCTGTGCATCTTAAGCAACGCTGGGAGGTCGATAAACCAACCGGAGAGAGGACTTTTTGCTTTTAATCCGGTGTCATCCACCCCACTCCACCTTCCAAGAGGCTGACGCCGCCACCGAGCTGAGCACCAGCGGTCCCAGGTGTGTCCCCAACCCCACCCCCCGGGAAGGGGGGGGGGGGGGGGAAAGATGCACACGTCAGCCAAACCTCAACAAGCCTCCGTTCCCATTAAAAGCCAGTCCAAACCACCAAACGCAGAAGCCTCCCTTTAGCCAAACGAGGCCGTTGTTAAGCTCCCCCCATCGCTGAGACCGGTTAGTGCTCATCACACACAAAACCAACCCAGCTGGTTAAAAAAGGGAAAAGCATCTCTCTTCAACCTGCATCACTCAGAGCCTGGCTTGGAGGAGGGGGGGTGTTTAGTGGGGGAGCCGGATGCAATTCCCTGACTACGGACCTCGGGGCACGGAGCATCCCTTCGGATGCTGCCGGAGCAGCACGGAGCTCTCCCCTCGCCGCAGAAAAACACAGATCCCAAAGCAGCCCCTGCTTTCTGGGGGTGTTTTGCACTGAGGATAAATCTCTGCTGCCTTTTCGACCTATTTTACACCAGCGGCAGCGCTTGGGTGAAACACCCGGGGGGGGAACATCCAGCCGGGGCCGTACCCCCACCCCACACAAGCCCTGGCAGGGTGGAAAATTACCCCCCCGCTAATTAAAGCAGGGAGGAACCACTGGGAGGACGGGGCAGAGCCAAACCTCACAGAGCTGTGACACCTGCACCCTGTTTTTCTTGGGGCACCCCTCCGTGAGATGCTGGGGATGGGGACCCAGATTTTTGGGGTCCTACAGAGGCCCCTGTTTTGCTTTACCCCTCCGCAGCTCTCCCAGGACTTGGGGTACCCCCCCATGAGATGCCAGGGATGGGGATCCAGATTTTTGGGGTCCTAGGGAGGCTCCTGTTTTGCTGCACCCCCCCAGCTCTTCCAGGACTTGGGGCACCCCCCCATGAGATGCCAGGGATGGGGATCCAGATTTTGGGGGTCCTACAGAGGCTCCTGTTTTGCTTCACCCCCCCACAGCTCTCCCAGGGCTCACGAGGGGCACCCCCGCATGAGATGCTGGGGATGGGGATGCATATTTGGGGGTCCTAGGGAGGCTCCTGTTTTGCTGCACCCCCCCAGCTCTTCCAGGACTTGGGGCACCCCCCTGTGAGATACTGGGGATGGAGATGCAGATGTGGGGGTCCTACGGAGGGTCCCATTTTGCTTCACTCCCCTCCCTGGTTCTCCCAGGGCTTTGGGTACCCCCCCATGAGACGCTGGGGATGGGGATCCAGATTTTGGGGGTCCTATGGAGGCTCCTGTTTTGCTGCACCCCCCCAGCTCTCCCAGGACTTGGGGCACCCCCCTGTGAGATGCTGGGGATGGGGATGCAGATGTGGGGGTCCTACAGAGGCTCCTGTTTTGCTTCACCCCCCCCGGCTCTCCCAGCTGTGAGAGATGCCGGGGATGGGGATCCAGATTTTTGGGGTCCTACGGAGGCTCCTGTTTTGCTGCACCCCCCCAGATCTCCCAGGACTCATGAGGGGCACTCCCCCATGAGATGCTGGGGATGGGGATCCAGATTTTGGGGGTCCTACAGAGGCTCCCATTTTGCTTCACCCCCCAGCTCTCCCAGGACTTGGGGCACCCCCCTGTGAGATGCTGGGGATGGGGATGCAGATGTGGGGGTCCTACAGAGGCTCCTGTTTTGCTTCACCCCCCCCGGCTCTCCCAGCTGTGAGAGATGCCGGGGATGGGGATCCAGATTTTTGGGGTCCTACGGAGGCTCCTGTTTTGCTGCACCCCCCCAGATCTCCCAGGACTCATGAGGGGCACTCCCCCATGAGATGCTGGGGATGGGGATCCAGATTTTGGGGGTCCTACAGAGGCTCCCATTTTGCTTCACCGCTCACCCGCTGAGTCAGCAAAACAAAGAGCCCTGGCTTTCACAAGATCTAACTTTCAAGCAAAGCCAGAATTTTGACTCGTGGGGGCTTGTAAAGCACAGAAGGCCAGATATTTTTTTTT